CCTCACACATTGCTGACATATAGTAAAGATACTGATAGCTCTCTCATATTCTCTCTTATACATATTTCCCTTTATTAAATTATAGACTTAAAAATTAGCATAAATCACTAAGTGGTCATTGAGTTTTCAATGCAGAACAGCTTGATTCTGAAGATTATGCCATTTCCTAAACCTCTCAATAAGTAACAGAATGGCTGGTTAATAATGAAATTGATTTTAAAAAGAAGGTAGAAGGACAAGAAAAAAAAATTTAAGGGGTGCTTAAATTTTCACCAGAGGCTGGTTTGACTGAGACTCATTAGGAACTTAATACACATTCCCAGGGGAACTTAACTGCATTGAGATCTGGGGCACTCAGATGGGTCTTAAGGAAACCTGTCCAAATAGATGGCTGTTTGAAGTTTAGGGGTCTGCACAGGCTGGACTTACCTAGGCTACTGACACAACAGCCCACTTTTCTTTGCATGTGTAGACATAGACTTTGTAAAGGCACGCAGAGTGGATAGAAATCCTGGGTATTTCATTTGTAGCAAATGAGCACTTTCAAATGAAGAACCTCAGATTTCCTCATGTATACTTTCAAAATCCAGTAAGCTTCCAACCTCATAGCCAGGCTTTCTATACAAGCTTTCTGGCCTTTCTGATCTTCTTTGTCAACCCCGTTTACTACAACTCCCACTATGACCTTCGCGCACTGGTGTCCTTGACTTTCTTGACCCTATTCCAACATGCCTGTGATTTCCACTACCATGTTCTTGCTTTTTCCTCTGTATGTGGCAAACTGCTCCTGAAAATTCAAGATCTCATTTAAATATCACCTCTTTGGAGCCTTCTCTCTTACCTCAGGCATAATTTGTAATGCTCTGCTTCCTCTGGCTTCAACAGAATCAGGTATAGTGTGGAGTAATGGAAAGGGCAGGCTTCTGTTGTCAAAATGATCTCAACCTGATGCTTGCACCTACTAACTGTGTGATCTTAGGCAAGCTAGTCAATCTTCCTGAGGCTTAGTCTCCTGATTTTTAAAATGAAGACTGTTCATTCCTTAAATATATGGAAAACATCAGTGATGGTGTATTATTACTGTTTGCCTGCCTATATTTCTCTTTTTGAGCTTGTTGCAATGTTAGATCTTACACACACACACACACACACACACACACACACAGAGACACACACACAGACAGACACACACTTGCAACACAAGACACCCAGCATAGTGCCTGGTGTTTTGCAGCACTCAATGTTACTGCAATCAATGAAGAGGTCTGGAAAAGTAACTCAAGCACTGACAGTCACATTAAAGTCCAAGTTCATCTATAAAGTGCTCTCTGGCTATTCCTGTGACTGTTAATTTAAATTCTTATAGCTCGTGTACATACGACTACTAAGGCTCTTGTCACAGCCTGCTTTCACAGATACTAACTGAATCTAAGCTCCTCCAGGGCAGTAACCTTGGCTTTCACTCTGAACTCCTCAGGACATTTCACAATGCTCTGAAAATGCCAGCTAATGAAAAGGTTATTTAAAATACCCTATTATCCTACTCATTCCAGACAATTTTCCTCCTTACTTGATGCTGAATTTACCTCAAGGTCCCAGAGGATGAGGCCTCTGCATCAATGACTTATTCCTATAGTCCTTGCCTTTAGTTCACAGCGAGTGGCATCTCCTGACCCCGCTTTCCCAACTCTCCAGAGAGTTGTTCTCTCCTTTCCTCAGTGCATTTTATCTCTTGTTAATGGTCCTTTGCTTTCTACTTCTGGACAAGTCTTCTTACTGATGTATTTTCTCATAGGGATTTGGAGAACTTTGATTTATTACCAATTAATGCATGAGCAAATCTCATGGAGAGTTACTAACATAAGGCGCCCTAAAAAATCATTGAATCCAGCAAAGCAAGTAGGGAATAATTCCCAATGTTGTGCTAGAGATGACTCAATCATGCCACTCTTTTTTGCTTCTGTGATCCTATACAGCCTCAGAATCCTTTTTCAAAACAAGACACCAGATATAAACTATCAATCCATTAGTCTACATAGGAGTTGAAACTTGTTTGATATCTCTGACGTAGTTTAAAGGTTTTATTTTGGTAATAAGGCCCAAAGAATAATAGTGACTTAGTAGCGAGCTGAAACCAGAACCCAGATTATTGACCCTTCTGATTTTCTGTTCAGGGCTTCCCCTCCCAGATTACTCCTCTCTTTCAATAGCCAAGTCCTAGAATTTACATCCTGTTTGTTGGCAAATACCTAATGGTGTTTAACATGTAAGATTAAAAAGCACATCAGATACATTTCAGGCTTACTGAAAAGATATCTAGCCTCTCACTGATGTTAGGAGCTCTTGGGGAAAAGGGCCTATGTTAGACTTTGGGTCCCTCTAAAGTTCTAGTCCTATTTCTGGCACATGTTAAGTATTCAGTAAAAATTTTGTCACATATATCCAACTCTATTTGTATGTCTGTCTATCTATCTATCTCAAACAAATAGGAGGTCTACCTTAAATTCACAAGTAGCATTTTCTTGAAAGAACTTTATGTCATGATGTCACATACCCTCACTTCTATTTATAATGACATCCTATGTTTTCATACATTTTCATTTCATTTGAATGTTTTAGGGGAGGATAAATTATTATGTCAATGACTGGGCTATCTTATGATTCTTCTACTTAAAAATAGAAAGGGCAGTGCTGTTATTTGGACCTCAAAATCCCTGAGAAATGATAAACTTTTCTTCTTCTTTTTCATGGTGACAGCGACTGACATAAATTGTCGTTCTGTATGATATTCACAAGCGACAATTGTTAGGCTAGAAAGGCCAAGGAAAGGATATGAAGAAAAAAAGGATATGAAGAAAAAAAGAACAGGAAGAGAGAAGATGGGGAAAGTTATTTTACAACACAGCAGTAAGATACTAGTATTATCTCTTCAAAGAATAGATTTTAAAAGCTATACAAGCCACAGCTAACATCATATTTCATGGTGAAAGACCGAATGCATTTCTCACAATGTCAGAAATAAGACAAAAATGGCTACGCTTGCCATTTCTATCTAATATTATTCTGAAGGTTCTAACTGGTGCAATTAGGCAAGCAAAGAAGGCATCTATATTTGAAGGAAGGAAGCAAAACTCTCCCTTTTTGCACGTACATCTTGTATATAGAAAACTCTGAGGAATTTACTAAAAAACTGTGGCTTTAGCAAGGTTGCAGGATATAAGAATGATATACAAATAATTATATTTCTGTACATTTGCAATGAACAATCCAAAAATAAGATAATTCATATGCAAAAGAATACATAAAAACTAACTCAGCATGGATCAAACACCTAAATGTAAGAGCTAAAATTATAAAACTCTTAGAAGAAAATATGATATAAATCTTCATGACTTTCATTAGGCAATTGTTTCTTAGATGTGACACCAAAAGCAAAAATAAAAAAGAAAAAATACACACATTGGACTTCACCAAAATTAGAACCTTTTGTGTACCAAAGAACACTATCAAGAAAATGAAAAGACAACCCAGAGAGTGGGAGAAAATATTGTAAAGCATATGTCTCATGAGGGATTAATAACCCAATTATATAAAGAACTTCTATAACTCAACAATAACAAGACAACCCAATTTAGAAATGGGCAAAGGATCTCAATAAACATTTCTCCAAATAATATATATGAATGGCCAATAAGCACATGAAGATATGCTCAATATCAACAGTCACTGAGGAAACGAAATCAAAACCACAATGAGATACCACTTCATACCAACTAAAATGGCTATAATCAGAAAGACATATAATAAAAAGGATGTGGAGAAACTGGAACCCTCATGCATTGCTGTGGAAATGTGAAATGATACAACCACTTTGGAAAACAGCCTGGCAGTTGCTCAAAATGTTAAGCATACAGTTACTATATGACCCAACAATCCCGCTCCTAGGCATGCAGCCAACGGCAATAAAAACAAATGTTCACAGAAAAGTTTGTACACAAATGTTCATAGTAGCATTACCCATAACTAAAAATTGGAAACAACTGAAACATCCATCAACTGATAAACAGATTAAATGTGGCATATTCATACAATAAAATATGATTTGGCAGTAAGAAGAAATGAAGTACTTATACATTCTACAACACAAACGCATCTTGAAAACATTACGTAAGTGAAAGAAGCAGTCACAAAAGACCACATGGTGTATAATTTCATTTATATGAAATAGCCAAAATAGGCAAATCCATAGGGACAAAAAGTAGATTAGTGGTTGCCTATATTGGGGTGGGTTGGGGTGGGAGAATTGGGAAATGTTAATGCATATAGAATTTCTTTATGGAGTGATGAAATGCTCTAAAATTGATTGTGGTGATGGCTGCATAATTCTAAATACTCTAAAAACTACTGGATTGTGTTTTTTAAGTGGGTGAATTACACTGCATGCAAATTTTATCTTATAAAGCTATTATTTAAAAAAAGATGTACAGATGTATTTGTGAGTGAATATTCTAACTTTGATGGCTGAATTTTAGTAATTATATCTTCTATGTCTGTCACAACAATCCATGCATTCATTAGATAATCCATTTTTCCATAATCACTGTCTTAGCTTCTTAATGTGAAAGAGACTAGATACATTTTCTGATGAGCAGAAACTTTTTATAAAATCCATCCTTTTAGAACATTAATTTAAAAGGACAAAAATTAAAGAAACAAAAACCACCTAAACTCTCTTGTTATTTTTCATTGTAGTCATTACATCACCTTCATCAACACATTGTTTCTGCTAACCACTTGCAGCTTTACTCCCAGTGTTTAAATATATTTACCATAAATCCATTTCATCAGAAATGGCATTATTAACTTCAACAATACATTTATAACAGTGCTCTACTGTCTGGTAGCTACATAATTTGTTTACTACTGAAAACCTAAATGTTAATTATAGTTAAATCCATGGCAACTTAGAGAACTTGATGTTTCTATCATTTTGTACCTACCCCTTTCGAATCAATCACTCCAGGTTTGGCATTAAACTTCACTGTCTTCAAACGGGCACGTTCCTTTCTTTCCACCCTAAAGCAAATTGAGAATAAGGAGTCTGTCACATGACAAGGCATTTATGACTAAGTTCCTTATTAAGTGAAGAACACCTTTTCTGCCTATCCTTGCAGCTCAAATAAAATGTATTCTAAAATATTTCCCTTCCTTTGTTCCATATAAAAAATCTTGCACAAAGTCTCTAAGTTTCTAACATGTTCCTTGAAATTACCCTGATACATATACTGAGAGTCACAGTATTTGTAAGTAACAGAGACGTAGAAGAAGATATTTATTATTTAAATGCTTAAATAATTAAATCAAAATTTATTTCAAGAAACCACAGTCCATAAAGATTAATGTCTATACTAGAGACTAAACAAGCTTTTCCTCCCCTCTTCCCTTATCTCCTCTCCTTTTCTTCTTTGTTTTTCTTTCTCTTCCTTTTAAGAACACCAGTGTATTTAGCTTTACTTTTTAACCAAACATATTAGATATAATCTTGAGCTTTCCTTTTCTCCAATGCCCTTCTGTCATCTCTGCTGATTCATGGTTTTCCTGCTACTTCATTTATTCATTAAACACTTACTGACTATCTACCATGTATCAAGCAAGGAGCTGGGAAACAAAGAAAAAATTCTAAGATCATGACTGCAGTGAGTTCTTAGCAATGTTCTTTTGGCAAGAACAGCAGGATAAACAAATGCAGAAAATGCTGTAGAACCAGATGGCTGATATCAAAGCGGGAGCACCTATCTCACTGGGAGGGTGCAAAGGAGAAGTAGAAAGCATTGGGGTGGACTTCTTGGAGGAAATGTCAATTCATCTGAGATTGAAGGATTAGAAAGAGCTTGTTGGTAGGGAAATTTCCGGGTGATTTTTCATAGAAAGAACAACATATGCCTCAACCTGAAGGTATGAGTAAGCTACAAGACTACAGAGAGATTCTAATATAAGGTATGCAGTGGGTATACAGGATAGGGAGGTGAGGCTACCGAGGTGACAGGCTCCTTATAAAGGGTATCCATCCACATTAAGGACTTGTTTTTTCCTTGGGGAATCATCATGAGTTCTTAGAGGATATAAAGCAGCGAAGTGATAAAATCAGATCAGTTTTAAATAAACAACCCTGGTGGAGGCAGAAGACAGACCAGAGGAAGGAAGGAATAGGAAGAGGCGGGGGGCCTATTTAGAAGCTGTTGCCATAGCCCAGGCAAAAAATAATGAGAAATGATAGTGGGATGGAGGAGAGGGAATGGCTTGAGAAATATTAGGAAAATGAAATTGGTTGAACTCATGCTTGTTTGAAGGCCAAGGTTGAAAAAGAGGAAAAGAATCTAGATATTTCCCTGATTCTTCTGTGCCTCTCCAGTTAGACATGATTGCTCCTTTCTGACTGGAACAGTCTCCACGTCAGCATTGCCTCTTGATTTCCTTGTGTTTACTTATGTTTGCACTGTATATACAAGGTTGGATGTACCTTAAGGTACAAGCCCACATATCACTCAATGGTGCTTTATAGCAAGTCCTCAATAAATAATTGTCCAGCAAAAATAATATTCATTGCATTGTTTTAACATGACTTATTGTTTAAATATTACTAGCTCTAATTTCAAAGATATGAGGAAAAAGAGAAAGAAAAAATCTGAACTCACAGAAACAATGGTTTATGAAATCTAAGTTATTCATAGATCAATAATTAACGGCATACTCCTCTCTAACTGAGAGCTCTTTTGTGTTCCCAACTGAAACACAGTGAAGATCAGGGTTTCTATAGTTACAGAATGGAATTGCAGAATATATTTATTTCTCTGTGAGAGTAGAATATCTGAGTGGAAACAGCTGAACAAAAATTTTAAAATCTAACTTCATATATTAAAATAATGTGAAGCCAGGCATGGTTACTCACACCTGTAAACACAACACTTTGGGAGGCCGAGATGGATGGATCACCAGAGGTCAGGAGTTCAAGACCAGCCTGGCCAACATGGTGAAATGCCATCTCTACAAAAATAATAATAAAAAAAATGAACTGGATGTGGTGATGGATACCTGTAATCCCAGCTACTCAGGAGGCTGAGGCAGGAGAGTTGCTTAAATCCAGGAGGCAGAGGTTGCAGTGAGCCCAGATCATGCCGTTGCACTCTACCCTGGATGACAGAGTAAGACTCTATCTCTCCCCAGAATTAGTATAAATAAATAAATAAATACAACAACGTGTTACACTGAAGGTTTCTACTTGCACCAGACATACAACAGTTGGGGAGAAAGCAAGACAGATTTAAGGTAAGATAAGCTGCCCAATGGAAAATGCTCACTGAGAAAATGCTTCCTTTGAGCTTCATCACTTCATCACCTTTTCTCGATTTTAATCCAAGTGCAAACGATAATTGATATTCATCTCTTTGTATTCTTCTAAAACTGTTGTTACAGCTGTAACTTTATTCCACCTTTTTCGAACTAGGCTAATGATGGGAAACCACTAGTTCATTCAATGATGCGAAAATGACTGTAGCATGCAGAGAATATGTGATTATTTGATCAGGGTATGCAAATAAATTCTGCATAAACCCACAGAACTCACACAGGTTCCAAACATACGTAATGTTAGAAGGAACTCAGTATTCAGCTCTCAGGACTGTTTGGACAGAGCATTCTAATTGCGCCCCATGCCCTGCACCCCAACCCCACTTCTATATTTATCCTTTTCAATTTTCTTGAGAAATGTCTCTATTATGCAGATTTTAGTGGTTCATCCTTTAAATCTTAAAAAGGTTGCAAAGTATATTAAGTCAGCCAGACACACATACTCACTCTCTCTCTCACAATTTGCTATAGTTTATTATTAATCTTCAAACAGATAATAGAAAAAGTAAAGAAAAATTAAAATTGAAGCTTTATGGAGGTCACCTAGTTCCTGTTCACTCATGAAGGAAGCTGAGAGGTTTCCTATTTGGGTTGAAAGTTTCATTAATAATAATAACATAAGTGGCCACTAAAGTTGCAACATACAATTATTAACAAAGTTCCTTCACATTTACATCATCTCATTTGGTACCCATAATAACCTAATGATTTAGATATTATCAATTTCATTTTATAACTGAAGAAACTGAGACTTGAAGCGTGCCAGTTCAGAAAGAGGTAGACACAGAGCCTGAACACACATTCTCTAACAGCTAACTTCAGTGTCTGCCACAGGCACTCAATTTGGGAAACCACATCAGGACCTCCCAAGCCTGCCTTTATCCAAATTCTTAATAAACGTGAGATTTTGGATGTGGCATCCACAGTTTGAAGGCACATACATATCCTTAGAAGTCTGGGCTGAGGTTTTCATAAATAATAACCAACGTACCCTGGCATCCCCATCTTCCAAATGTCCTGAATGCTATGAATATTATTAATTATTAAATAAACCACAAACAAATTTACACATACAATCATCGAGGTAGTAGTGTACCATAACAGGTTGACATCAAAATTCAGAATACATTAACTTTAAACATGGAAATCTGCTTAGTTAAATCCCGATTTGAGTTGATCTCTCTCCTTAGCACACCAGCAACCCTAATAGTGCGATTCCATCACAGAGGCTTGCATGAAGGGTAGGTGAGTAAAACTCTTATGTAATCTCTTGGGGTTCTGTGCAATCCTCTTTCCTTGAGAGCATGTGTCTGTCTGTGGCTTATCTTCCTCATCTGCCTCAGCCCTTTCCTCTCTCCTAGCTCTTTCTGGGATGCATGTGAATGGTTTACTGCTGAAATGAGAGTTATCTGGAAAATAGGGCTCTAAATCATGTGGTGTTTTTGTTTCTAGCAACAAAAGCTCAAAATTTGAAAAATGGAAAACAGCTATCATTGGAATGTACACTGTTAGAAACTATGCTAAGGACTTCACCTATAAGAGCTATAATCCAGGGCTTAACATGGACTGGATACACAGTAGGAGCTTAATGAGCCTTTGTTGAATGAATAAATAAGTGAACTCTAAAGGAGGCTACTAGTTCTTTACCTGCATGTGAAAACTAAGGCCCAGAAAGTTTAAGTGAACTGCTGAACAACCAGTTTCCCACAAAATGTGATTCACCATTTCATAACTTACTTTCTTGGTAAGAATCTAGGTAAAAATTTAGCATCACTTTCTCTCATTGTTTTACTCAGTAAGACTTCTTTGACTAATAAATATTAAGGTCCAAAGGCTTTCACCGAAAGAAATGGTGGACCACCTGAACAGACGGACCAAATCGCAATGAGAACAACTGCCTTACTTCCCCACTCACACTTAAGCAATTAATTAGATTGTTTGAGCAGAAATAATCCTCCCTGCCGAAGTCTCATCTCTGACCAAAATACCAAAACCATAAATGGAATGGCAAAACTTGAGCAATCAATTCTGACATTTCACATTTCCAGAGAGCACCAAATGGCTATGCTTTAATAAGCCCAACTGTCTCCTTCTCCCTCTCTCCCATCTGGCATTTTTAGGTTCTGGCCAAACCCATAATTGGGTCATGCTTGGAGAACTGGACAGTGGGAACATCATTTGTCCCTGGGAGTTCCTTTCCTGGTGCTCCACAGGCCCTGTTGGAGGGAGAATTGGAAGGTCACCCACATTAGTGGCCACAGGCTTGCTCTGAAGGCTAGGTGAGTACATTCTTACGTAATGCCAGCCATAAGCTGCCATCTGAGAGCCCAGGTGACCAGTCACTGGGGAGCAATGAATAGACACTTGGCTTAAGAGACCATGGGACAAAAAGCAGCTGGGTCTCTTGCACACTATGTAATCTCAGAAAAGTGATTCTATGCTAACAGTCCAGATTTTGAAGTCGCACAGCCTGGGTTTGAATTCTGCCTCTTGCACTTACTAGATCTGTGACTTAGGGTGGTCCTCAACCTCTTAGGATTTCAAAGTTTGTGTTTATTCAATTAGAGCTAATGTAGACTTTAAAAATTTACAGCGAAAGTTAAATGAGAGAATACAAGATATTTGTTTAGCGCAATGTCTGATCTATAGTAAGAACCCACTACACAATAGGCTGCTACTAAGATGATTATGATAATGTTGTCCATGATGTCACTTGTCATCACTGGTCCCTATTTCCTTATCTGTAAAAGGGAAGTAATACAGGTGCCCTATTTCAGGTGCTCGTTGCCAAGGTCAGTCCCTTTATGCCAGGTGGGAGCAAGACATGGACTTCTATTTCTCCCCTCTTAAGAGACCCTGAAATGTGGGCCACCAGACTTGAGAGGTGTAGGGCTGAGAAGAGCCCCAAACCTTTGCAGTTGCTCATAGAGACATCAGACATTCAAACACAAAGGCATGTGTTTGAGTCTAGGCTTAGCCCCCTGCTGCCACTGTATTTTGGCAGACTCCTTAAATTGTCTATTTCCTTACTTGGCAAATGCTCCTAGGGTGGTGTTCCTGGTATAGTGGAAAGCCATCTGTCCTTGCTGTCAAAGAGACTGGTTTGGTCAATGGCTGGCTGTGCATTCTTGGGTAAGTTACTTGACATCTCTGATCCTCAGTTTCCGTATGAAGTTTTTGTGAAGATTAAATTGAAATCATGTATGTGAAAGCACCTGGTGCAATACATGATCAGTGCTGTAAGCAGATGGAATTCACTGTGTCTGCTGCCCTTTCACTTTCCTTGCCTTTACAATATAGCCCACATTGCCCTAATCACAGAGTAGCTGTGCCACAGTTACATGCTGGTCCCGCAAGTGATGGGCTCCAGGCAATGAACCAACAATAGTGCCTGGTACTCAGATGCTGCCCAAACAGTGCTTGCTGAATTGAATTTTGTCAGCTCTTATTTGTGTACCTTTGCAGGGCAAGATTGCATATGACTTAAATGCAGCTCTGTAGCCTGGATTCAAATTCCAGTTCTACCACTTACTACACGGGCAATTTCAGGCACATTAATGAATCTTTCGGTGCCTCCATCTCTTCATTTGTAAAATAAGGATAATAATAGCAACTTACTCATAGGGTTGTAATGAGGCTTAAATTAATAATTGTAAAGGGCTTACAATAGCATCTAGCATTCAATAGGAATGTTTTATTAAATAAAATTTATTTCCCAACCTCAGAAAAAAAAAAAAAGAAGGGGGAAGGTGATAATATTCATACTCTTCATCTTATGGTTTCATTTTGGAATGACTAAATGACATTATCAGTAGAGAAACATTTTTGTAAGAGGTATAAAGTCATACACTGATGTTATCCATTATGAGATTTAAAAAAATTTCCCGATCAGCACTCCTCAGAAAACAGGCTAGAAAGAAATTAAAAACTGAAAAATAACATCAACCTTATAAATGTAGGTTTTACACCGCACTAAAATAAGTACATGAGTACTCTTTGTGGGGTAGGATTATAAGGGATTTTTATTTTCTTTATATTTTTCTAAATGTTCCCACTTTTCTACAATGAAAGTTATTACTTTTACAAATACTTAAAAGAATAAAAGTAACTTCTTAAAAAATAAAATCCTAAAAAGAAAACTTGGCAGAAATTTATTTACAGCTATAAATTTTATACATATATTTGGGAGGTGGAGGTACTGCACTTTTCATAAAAAGTAGAACGTAAATAAATATCAACATTGCAATTACTAATCAAATGTATTTTGCAGGTCAGGTATACTCTGGTTGTTAAGATGGGTCTCTTCTAAAATAAGAGGGAAATAACTAATTCAAGAATGATTACTATCATGTAGAAAATTATTTCAGGAGGAATTGCATTGAGAATGTTCCTGTGGAGAAAAATGATGAGCTAATTGAACAAACGACTTAATAAGATTGGTTAGAACCACAGAACCTCATGGTTGGAAAGAGGCAGAAAATGGTATAATTCAACTCCTGTATTCAAAGTTGGAATCCTTTTTCTATCTTCCCAGATAGTCCATGCCATCTTTAGGCAGCTCCAACTAGTGAAAGGATTTCTTTAAAATAAGCTGACATCTATTCCTGCATAGCTTTCCTTCCTCCACCCTATTTCTATCTTTGGGGACATAATTCAACAAGATGGCTCCTTCTTCTAGAGAACGGCTCTTCAGACAGCTCAAAATAATTAAATCAAAGCAAACCAAAATGCATGTTGTCTTGATATTTTTTTATTTGAAGTAAATGGAAATGGAGAGATGTGGAATATAACAAGCCAGTGCTGAGTCAATGCTTTAAACATATAACCTTTCAGAAAACACACACAGCTATGCTACAGTCAGAATGCCCTGGCAAAGCAATGTCAGGCAATTATCCAGGGGCCAAGAGGCTTAAAGAAACCCAGAGAAGTCTGTTGGTGGGAGATCTACAGGCACTGGCATGGGGGATGGGGAAGTTCTCTGGAGTTTCATCACTTTCACTGTGACTCCTCCCAGCTAAAGGCAAGAGAACAGCTGAGGACCAGGGAGCCCTCTGCTTTCCATGCCACATTCTTCCCCAGGCTGTGAGACCACAGGCAGAGAGAGGAGAGGATCAATTGTCTCAGGAGCGCAAATATCCCACAGAGTTATTCTGAGATTTAAGTTACATCTTCCCGGACAGGCGGGGTAGTTCACACCTGTAATCCCAGCACTTTGGGAGGCCAAGGCAGGTGGATCAAAAGGTCAGGAGTTCGATACCAGCCTGGCCAATACGGTGAAACCTGTGTCTACTAAAAATACAAAAATTATCTGGGTGTGGTGGTGCACGCCTGTAATCCCAGCTACTCAGGAGGCTGAGGCAGGAGAATCACTTGTACCCGGGAAACAGAGGTTGCAGTGAGCCCAGATCGTGCCACTGCATTCCAGCCTGGGCAACACAGCGAGACTCCGTTTCAAAAAAAAAAAAAAAAAGTTACATCTTCCCACTACAGTTTGTAGTAGCTCAATCACTTGATGTGTAGAAGCACTTGAATACCTAGCTTCACTGGGATTTTTTTTACAAAGGCATTTTGGGCATTTAGATGTGAGGATCAAAGCCCTTTGAGAAATCTGCAGCTTACGAAAAGTTAGTGCCTGCTTTTATTAAGCATCATTCCTGACTGATATTGTACTGTATCTAATCTCTGGGATACAGCTAATTTCTGTTTTTTGGACATCTTGGTGCCAAAGGGACATTTGTGAGAAGAAAATTTCCTGTCTGGTGATGGATCCGCTGGGACAGATTAAGGAGTTGGCTGTTCTAAAGGGCATTTCTGCTTTTCAAAAGCAGAGCTGAAGAAATGGTTGGAAGAGGAAGTGTGATACTCTTGATTTAGGAAACACTTACATACAACTAAATACCTAAGTGACTATTGGAAGCTGTGAGGTAAACAGTAAAGAAAACAGTAAAAAATGAAAAAAAAATTTTAAACCCAGTCCTTAGACCTCATCAGATGTTTGACAGCTCATATTCCAAGCATCTGAATTTGAGATGAAGGTTTTCCATTCTTTTCCACCAATATTTGAAAATATAACATAGCCAGGACCTTAGCCCAGTAAACTGCCTACTTCATTTGCCTTCAACTTGGCCTTTCTATAAAATTCATTGGTAACTTCTGGAAATGAAAGGACTTAATTTGTAAGTTGGCACGTGAGCTGATAGGCACAAGCTTGCGCATACACACACTGGTCAAAGTTTTAGGAACACAGTGTTAGCAGATCTGCTTTCTTCTTTTATTTCTTGTCACAGGCACCAATTTTGACAGAACCCTAATATAGGAGAAAGAGGATTTTTAATTCATGTCACCTGTCACTACTGACAATTTTCCTGCAGGTTGACTATCCCATTTAAATAAATTTAATTTTGTGAACAGTTTCTCCCACCTTCTTCTTCTCTCCTCTCCGCTCCCTGGATAGCTGAAAAGCAAATATTCTGGTACAAAAGGCATTCTTACCTCCGTTTGCTGGGGATGACCCCCATCTCCTCGCTGTCCCCCTCCAGCATGACTCTCCTGGCTTGCCACCACTCATCGTCAGAGGCATTGATAACATGGAGAATATCTCCGTATTTAAAACTAAGTCCTTGACTTGGCAGCCCACTGTCCTTGCTCTTATCATAGTCGAACATGGCTCTGGAGGAAAGGACAAAAGAGGACACTGTTAGGAGTCTCTGGCAGCACAGATTTAGGATTTATGGTTTCAAACGTTCACCCTTGCTCTGAAAACCCATCATCACTTGATACCAACTCCCGGGGCAATTCCCTGGATCACAGTCCACACTCTCACTGCTTTGGCAACAAACTAAAGTTAGTTCTTGCTTCTTGATGGTTACTGGGGTATCCTATAGATCCCCCAAACTGAGATCTGCTTCTTTTCTTGGAGACCATCAGATGTTAGAAGGTGATAATAGGAGATGAGAAAGTCAGTTTACTACCTAATGGGAGATTATTTTCCTTCCCATTACGATCAAACTGTTAAAATTACTCAAAAAGTAAAATAATAAAGAGAAACAGGGCTATTTTTCTAAATGAAGCATTTTGCAGTATCAACAAATCATCTCAGATGTATCAGCCTGTACAACTCTTTGTTTTATAATGGGAAAAAATGGTCACAAATGTCTATGCATAGTAGGCTGTGATTCTTCCATTCAATGCAATATTGGACCACCACTGCAACAGAATGAAAAGGTTAATGTAATCACCTGAATACATGCTTAAAATGCAGTAAATTTAAAAATCTATGTGTATGTGTATGTGTATGTATGGACAGATAAAAAGTCATGTAAACAACACAAATCTTTTTGCTTCCATACTATGCCGAGCTTACCTCATCACAGCACTTAAGAATTATTATTCTTGCTTTCTGTATCATGCTGTCCCCACTAAAAAGCATTTGCTAAGCATTTGTTAAGGCCAATGCACTGTAATACGTATGACTGGCAGCATGAGAGAGTTGGAATCAGAATCAAAATGATGAACAAGACCTCAGAAACTAGCTGTCATCATTAAGAGGTGAACATTTGCCACCACTCCTATGTCGTCCATGTCCTGCTGTATATCCCACATTCAAAAATCACCACCTTACATATACAGTATGATTTTCCTGGAGAAGCAGATTTCACTACCTCTCTGTTTATTCCCCTTTGATTTCATTCTAAGAATTTCCTTAGAGTATAACCACTACGCATGCAAAACTAGCAAGATCTGGGGAACGGATTTTTCTAAAAAATCTGTTTTATTTTAGATTTTTCCACTGTGAGGACCAAGTGTGGTTTTCTTCTTCTTTTTTTTTTTTTGCCCATCAAAGAAATGTCACATCTGCTGCCATGGCAACAAGAAAGAGCTGAAGACAGAACTTTTAAATACAGCAGGAAAAATATAATTACTTGCAACACGGTCCCTTCTTCCATTGACACTGACTCCAAGAGATGGAATTTGGAGAGAGTCTCTTGGTCCAAGCTCCCAAAATAAATCATTTTCACCTTGACCACCTCTGTCAAAAGCTCAGACAAAGCCCCAGTCAGGAACAGGGAGCTGGGGAAAGGCAAATGCCCACCCCTGATGCTGTCACTTCTCTGATCCTCTGATGTGACATACATTAGTTAACATTTTTGAGCCACAGGTTTTTTGATGCAAAATGAGTCTAATAACAACATTCACCTAGAACTGCTGTGATCCTTAATGAAATAACACATATGCAGCCCTAAGCCTATAGTAAGTACAGTATAGCAGAGTGGAGTACAGTGTGGTTATGAATATAGACATCTGGGACCACGATCTGCTCCTACTGTGTCTTAGTCTTACAGCTAGTCAGCTGGGCAAGTTACTTAGTCTCTTTTAGGCTTTGGTTTCCTCATATACAACATAGTGATGATGATGACAATGATGATAGCAACTTTGATAATACCAATTAACATTATTGACTTGCTGTATGGTTAAAATGTTATGTAAGGTAATATATGTAAAGCATTTACAAAAGGGCCTGGCACACAGTGACAAACAGTAAGTATGAACTAACGTTTTTATTATGATCTCCCTTTCCCTTTTTGGGTAGATGTTAATACAAATATTTTCTATAGATTCTACTCTGTGCAAAAAGTAGTTACCATAGCAGGCCTGAGACTACTGTTCTTGCTTGTAATGGTGGCCCTTGGCTGACATCTGGGAAGTTAGATTTTCGGAGGATTCCCACGCATTAGAATGGCTTACTCTGTCTAAACTGTTTGTACAAACAATATCATTTATACAGAACACCTGCTTTCTTTCTGGGAGTCTGATATTGTGGTATGTGCTAGGCAGAGGCTGCCTACGTGACCAGCCTCCAGTAAACCTGGACATTGAGTCGCTAATAAGATTCCCTGGTAGACAACACTTTGCACCTGTTGTTGCAATGTGTTGCTGGAATAATTGGGCACTTTCTGGGTGACACCACTGTGAGGGAACTCTCAGAAACTTGCAGCTAGTTTTTTCCAGACTTGGTCCTATGCTCCTGCTCCATTATCTGAGATTGTTTCATACCTTCTTTTGCAGTAATAAATCAAAGTCATGAGCATGATCATGCTGAGTCCTGTAAACTCTCCTAATGAGTCATCAACCTGGGAGCTGTCTTGGGGAACCCCAACACACATTCTATAGATTGCAAAGCATTTTTGTGTACGTTACCTTGTTGTGACTCAATCAGTTTCTGTGAAGAAGCTATGACAGATACAGTATTATCCTCCCCACTTGTTGTTGTTGTTGTTGTTGTTAAAAGATGAGGGACATATCTAATGGGGTCCACTGACTGACTCCAGAATATATGGCTTAGGGGCAGCAACCTAGGATAAGAACTTTGGTCACCAGGTCCAAATCTAGTTCAGTACTCTTCACGTTGCCCCCTCATTCAACCTGGGAGGTGGTGGTGAGGAGGTGTGGAAGATGATAACCATGATGGCTACTACTACTTACGCCCTCACTGGGTGGCCTTGCACCTTGTAGTCATTGTCTTATTTGATGTCACAGCAACCCTAAAGGTAAAAATTAGTATCTGCACTTAATAGATGAGGGAAGAAGGCTCAGGAAGTTAAGGAGCCTGGCCCAGGTCACACAGACACATGTGGTGGAGGTTAAATATAAAATGAGGTGTATCTGACTCCAAAATCTGCTTTCTTGGTCATTTTACTATATGGCTTAATTTCCCTACTTGTTGCCCCCTGGCCATGCTCATGATCTAGCAGTGCCAAAGACTTAATCTTCCCTTCAGGGCTGACAACTGCTTCTTTCCTAAATTCCTGAATTACTGCTCAGTCCTTGTCCAAGTATTTTTTATACCCAAAGTCCTTGAACTGCTGGCCTGACTCCAGGTTCCTTCTGGATGTAAACTATGGGGAGTTGAGGTAGAGAAACCATCAGAAAGGCTGGCAAGTAGCAGCCAAGAAGGCAGGCTCTGGAGACAGTCTGCCTAGGTTTGCAATTTTTTAACTATGTGACCTTGGGCAAGTTACTTAATCTTTTTGGGCCTTGAATTTTCTTAATCGTAAAACTGGCATACGTAATAACACCATCTATCTCAAAGTTATGGGGTGGATTAAATGAAATAATACACATAAAGTATTGTAACACTAGCCTGGCACTAGTGAGGGCTCAATAAATGTAAGATATTATTACAATAACTGTAATTCTGAAAAATTTTAGGCTTTGAATCAGGGGATCTGTGTGCCAATTTTGCCACTTAAAAGCTGTTTTCTAGAGTGGGTAAAGACATCTAAAATATCTCTGTATCCTCAGGACATAATAGGATGCTGGACCCAAAGTAGATCCTCAATACAGGCCTGTGAAAATGTTTCAGGTGGCTTTTGAAAGCCCTTCTTCTCTCATGTCTCCGCATTCCCATTTGAAGTGGGGGTGGGGACTGTTCCTAAAGGTCCCTACCAGGTCAGACATTCACTCAACTGTGCTCTTCTATTCCCAAGAGTCCTTAAGGGGAAGTTTCCCACTCCTACTGTCAGCTGCAGGTGTCTTTGCTGAGGAGCTCAGCAACAGGCTCTTTCAATGGGCTCCACTGGTCTTGGACAATCTGTCCCTCTAGGATTATATTTATTCAGACTTGTGAGGTCCCTAAAACCAAGCAGCTGACACATTTCAGCAGCTTCTGGCTCCTTTGGATATTAATGGAACCTCACAGCTGGGAAAAATGTGACAGTGCCCCCATCACCTAATTTAACAAGCGATAAGCTGTTTTTAATTTGCTTTATGTGCTAATTCATCACAGCAGCTTTTATAAAATGCCATTAAGACTCACATTTTCCATCCAGGGTGCTTTTAACAAGTCCATTAGACAAGTAGAATTGAACATGAATAATGTAACAACTCTCCCATCCTCCTGCCTCTCCTGGATTTCAACATGTGGTGACCCCTTACCAACTGGGGAAGTCTAGCAAAGGAAGAGTGAAGCAGTGGCTCACCCTCATGGCTGTGCAACATGGCTGTGAGACACCTAGGTACCTACGAAAATAGCACTTTTTAGGTGTTGCACAATGCAGTAAGCATTTTATATTCATTGTCTCACTCAGTTTATTGGGTTGGCAATATAACGTATGGGTTATATATGCCAGGCTTCAAAGAGAGGAGACCTGGGCTTATGTCACAGCTCTGCCATTCCTAGCTGTATAATTTGGACAGGTTACTTAACCTCTTAGGTAACCACTTTACCGTAGAGGGCCATTCTCTTATTCAGGAAATGCGGATAGTAATGGCATTAATGCAAAGGTTGCTGTGGAGATACGACAATGGGATGATACATGTAAAGTACCCAACACAGATGAGTTCCACTTTGTTATTACTTCTGACAACAATTCTGTGATGTAAGCATTTTTTGGTCTCATGAAGAAAAGATGAGACCTAAAGAGCCAAAATGAAAATAAAATACTAAGTAGCAGAACCAGGATTAAAATACAGATAGCTGTGTCTCACTCCGAAGCTCAAGTTCCTAACCATAGAATTCTTGGAATTCCTGATTAGAAATGTGTCCTTAGATTTTATCCCTAAGGATTTCATGATTTGATGATAATACTTACAGTGATACCATGTACTAGCCTGCTAAAAAGATGCATGAGTAGTTTATACAGGACGCATTGAGTTCTCACTGCTATCCT